ACTTCATTTAGTTGTTTGAAAACGAAATATCATCATTAAGAAGATATTTGTATATAATTGTTTCTGAATGACGTTTTTCTTTGGCGTTTTTAATTAACACTAAGTCGTCACAGAAAAATCTCGAAATCTGGCCGCAATCGAATTTCTAAACTTCTGAGGTTGCGGTACAAGAGTTTTTGCTACAACTGCCTACAGTCTCTAATAAAGTTTTTTTACAATTTTAGATGTATTTTCTACAAGGCAGAACGTGTCGTTTGCTTCGTTCGGTAATAGGGTAGTTTAGATCTTTTTAGGCCGTAAAAGACTGCAAAAAATGAAAAGTAATCGTTCTTCTTACCTCCGAGTGTTGTCCGACCTGATGAAACCGTCTTTTCATAATTAAAAGACTTGTAAACATTTTTTCCTCCCACTGAAAACTTAACAATTATCTTAAAAAAAGAAACAGAAGAAATAATTCTCGATTAATTAATGCACAGTGCAATCACATAATTACATCACACCAAACATTCGCTAAGGATTATGGTCGCCAGAGGGGATCAGATTGACTGCATGATATCAAATAAAATGTAGATGATCAGCTATCATGATAAATGATGTACATCAAATTTCGATAMACTAAAGTTCTACTTTTGGAAACAATGTTTAAAATAGGTCCAAAATTCAAGTCTTTCTGAGCATCTATCCACAATGTAAACATACTGTGACGTCATTATGCCATAGGGCAATTGTATCAGCCAAATGACCAAATTACGATCGCGGAAGTTGTAAAAAAAAAATCATTCCTTACTTTTCTTATATACCATAATCCACTACTCAGGTAGACTTCAACTGCGGTTATTTTCCCAACGTCTTTGTCATCTATATCAAATATATTCTTACTGCAAATAAAGACAAGTTATAAAAAGTAAGTATTTTTATGTGATAATGTGTAAAATACCAAAATCAACATTGTGCAGGAAGGCCAGAGCTTATTTTTACAACAAGGTTGTCTGAGAGAACAGCGAATGCACGACCGAAAGTTATTATGGGTATACATTGGCATTAGTTTTGTCACGGTTCCCAGCGCCATCTTGAAAGGTAGCTGTACCTTGTTATCGAAGCAAGACAACCATTGAGCGTGCAATGATAGAAACCTGTGAATAATTTTCAGATGTGTGAAAGAAGGTTTCTATCAATGCACGCTCAACTGTCGTCTCGCTTCGATGAAAACACGTGGCTAACTTCAAAGATGGCGCAGGTAACCGTGAAGGAGACTAATAAATGAAGATCTTCTGTGATGGCAATAATATGCGATTTTCATCTAATTTGTTTTTAGTAAGTTATACACGAGTTCAGAGAGAGGATTTGTGTTTTATTTATTCCTTATTTTCTAAAAGAATTGTGTTTGCTCAATTTAAATGAGCTGAGCCAGTGCTAATCATCACCAAGGGGGATTGGGGCGACAATATGGAAGGTAGGACTAATGTAGAAGGAGCAGCGACTTGCTTATACCTGTAAGATTTAAATGCTCCTCCGTTGGGTTGCACAACACGTGATGCTGTCTGACCTTTTTCACCAATTAATCGAAGCTCAACGCGGGAACTGGTGCCACGGTAACCGGTCATAACAAACACTTTGTATTCTATACACAAGATTTTTAAATTTACTCTTAAATATAGCCTAACATAGATCGAAAAAGAGTTTTTTTTCTACTGTATTTGCAAATCATTTTCTATGAATAAGTAAAATGCCATGGGTTTGAATTTTAGCTTCAGTCAGACGTCCTCATAGCTAAGAAAAAGTGGTTTCAATTTAATTGCAAAATTGTCATGTGACTGGTTACCACAGCAACATCACATCAGCCACACAACCTATTTTAATTGATAAAAATGTTCTTTTGTAATTATAGATTAAAATCTCGCGTCCTTCGCGGTAATTATTTTAATAATTTGTTGATTTATATTCTATATAGATGTAGATAGTCT